CTCTACACTGACCATACACAGGGCAATGGTGCTGAAAAATCTCCTCTTTTCCCATACCCAACTGGGGGCTTTATATCTCTACACTGACCATACACAGAGCAATGGTGCTGAAAGAGCTCCTCTCTTCTCATACCCAACTGGGGGCTTCATATCTCTACACTGACCATACACAGGGCAATGGTGCTGAAAGAGCTCCTCTCTTCCCATACTCAACTGGGGGCTTCATATCTCTACACTGACCATACACAGGGCAATGGTGCTGAAAGAGCTCCTCTCTTCCCAAACTCAACTGGGGGCTTCATATCTCTTCACTGAACCAACACAAGGCAAGAAAGAGCTCCTCTCCTCCAAAACTCAAGTTTTCCTTTCAAGGATTGAGAGAACAACTAGTCCGCTAGAGGAGTGAAAGAGGCCATCTATGTCCACCTGGAACAACCATCCCTGAACAAGGGTGGCTTCAGCACCATCTGTCTTCCACATATAATGTCATTTTAAGATTTCTACCATGACAGTTTCTCAAGGACTCACACCTTTGCAGCCATATGAATGGAAAGAGTAACACTTATGCATACTCCATTGCACATCCCATACTGTACTTGGACAATAAAACTCTGCCTTGACACATTGGATTCTTGGTATTACACATTGTGCTACCAGTGTAGATATAAGAAAAACAAAAACAAAACTGTGCTTTGTTCTTGACACATATTAGAACTTACGAAGTGGCTTGGATAAGCTATGAAATGTCTTAAGTATTCTCGAACAAGTCCAGTTGAATACGACTAACTACTACTAGCTATAACAGAACCTAGATAAATGAGACCTTTCACAGACAGACAGAGAGAGATAGCCATTGTGATACTCTGAACTCTTATGGTATCCTTTAAAGATACAATACCACCCGCCTCAGTGTAGCCTGCACACAAAAATACCTACCTTCAGCACTACTCTAATGTCTATTACCATTTTAGGCAATATTATTCTCTTCTTCTTAGTGAAATGCTCCTTTTCTTGGCAAGGTAACCAGTTTCCAAATGGGATCCTTTGACTTTGTGAGGTTCTCAGTCTACAAACAAGATGCTCTGTCATAGTGACTTAAAACGTAAGATACCTCTATCTCGGAGCAAGGTGCTTTGTTTCACAGTGTGATGCCCTAGGTTGATATGAGATTCTCCATGTTTGGCAAAGTGCTCCATCCCTTGATGAGATGCTCTATCTGTAATAAACTAACTTTCTTATCAAGAAGCTTTTTCACTTTGTGAGATTCCCCAGACTGTTGGAAATATGCTCCACTCTGTGGGAGATTCTCCGTCTTTCTGTGAGGGCCTCAATCTGCCAATTAGATCATCTGGACTGTTAATGAGATGGTCCACTTTGTGAGATGTTCTGGCTTTTGGCGAGATGTCCCATACTTACTTACTTACTGAGGATTTCCATTTCCAAATGAGATGCTCAAACTCATAGGAATGTAAAATTCTCTTAGTTAGCAAGATGTTCTATCTTTTATGAAAAGGCTTCATCTCATTATAAAATTGCCTCTTTCTTGACCAGATGCCGCACTTCTTAGCGAGGTGCTCATTCTCAAAATCAGATTGTCCATTTCTTGGTGAAAAGCTTCAGATGCTTCATACATTAGCAAGATGTGCCATCTCTCAGTGAGATCTCAGAAATTCCGAGATGTCCTCTGCACACTTTCTGTGTTGACTCAAAGAGGTTATTTAGCCTTTCTAGTTCTTACCATGGACTACAGAACGATTAACTCTTATGTTGTAGAGATCTGAGAGTTGAAGTGGTCAAGTAGTTTAGGAAGACACTGGGGAAGAGTGACTACATTCAGTCCACAAAAAACGGTGCTGTCAGCCCACAACAGAGCATAATTGCTGAGTGCACTTCTGGAAGATCAACAGGGATTTTTCTGTACTTGCAAATTCTTTAGGGGGATAAAACATAGGAAAATGTACATGCATTAGAGAGGTATAGTGCACGTTTTCTTACATTTTGTCTTGACATGCACGTAAACCTCTTTGCAGCAAGTGGTTCTCTGGGCTTTCTCGGGTCATAGACCTAGAGCATGTATACAAGACCCTCTTCCATTATCTATCATTTTAATGGAACAGGACAGTCAAAATAAGGCACTGGGTTAATTCACTGTAAATCCAATCCTTTTCCCTTTCATCTCTCTAGCGTAGTATCGTACACTGCAAGAGCAGCACTTCCTTTGAACACTCTAATAAATAATGACTCTAAGGCTAAAGTTCAGCTGTCTCTCTTTGACCTACACTGCCCCTCCATGTCCAAGAACCTGACCAAGCCAAAGTGTAGAGATTCAAGGTTTTGATGATAACTGATTGGCTCTGTGAAGATGACCTATATAGTGAGATATGATTTTTTATCAATGATAAACCCCGTGTTGTGATGAGGTGATGGTTATTTTTGGAATGCAGCCTGTCTGAGTCAGGATTCTGTGTCTTGTGACAGTCTGCTTTGATGAGATGCTGTGCGCCTTTATGGGTTTCTCACAGACAAAGTGAGACACGTGGGCTTTTTATTCTACCTTAGGGTTGTTGACTGAGGCATGATCTGCATTTGTGATAGATACTCTGACTGAGAGGAGATCATCTGCTGTGTTGCAGTCGGTGTGAGGCTGGCTCTCAGCAGGTCAATGTTAGATTGTAAACCTGCAGCTGTGTTTCATGGGCCCTCCTTCTCTACCTCTGTAGATTTATTTCCTCTTTTCCCCTCTACCCCTCCTCTCCATCTCTCCATGTTCCTTTCCCCTTTGTTCTACACCTCTCCTCCCTCCAATTCTGCCACTCCTTACCTCTAGGTAAAATTTGTTTTATCTTTAACTCAGCTTCACTGCACTAGCAAAGACCCTCCCTCTAATCTCCACTCAACAACAAACCTTTTAATCTCTCTCCTACCCTACGAAAAGTCCTTCATATGGGACCTGTAGCTTACTCAGTATACAGTTTGAAAATCCTTACACTGCACTTAAGGGGCAATGAACACCTCAAGTAGCTTTATGGCAGATGTGTAAATGGATTGTTGGTATTACAAATGGTAGGCATCACTCTGTTGAGAAGCAGAGCATAAGAAGCATCAGATCTGCTCCAGGAACCCCTACAGGGGAAGTACATTTTAGCATGTTAATCCAGGTACCAGCACAAGAGTCGTACAACAGGTTCAGGTTGAGTCCTATATAGGACAGAGATGGATGACTAGCTAAGGCCACGACAAGGAGGCAGCAGCTATAGGACAGACTAGAATCAGTGCAATTTTAGCCATACATTGACCGTATCTGCTTGTGTATGCTTATGCTAGCACCATGTGACCAGTTCTCATCCACGACTGAGAAATACTGGACAACCAGACTTGTGGGAAACCATCAATGCAGTTGTGATCGCAAGTGGTATAAGGAATCAGCAAAAAAAAGAAGCTGGAGAAGATGGGTGACCCAGTCTACAACTATAGAAATAGAAATTTGGAAACAAATACAGAAAAAATACATTCCCCCCAATCTCATTGTTTGCAGCAACATGGGCTCTTGGAGCTGCGCAGAGCA